TAAAAAATCAGTAGGTAATCATGACTCTCACCCAAGTAGTACTTACAGAGTAAAGTTTATGTACTTATTTTTGGTAACATAAATGCAAGGATGGAGGTTTCTATCCCCAGTTAATGTAAACCATGAAGGCCCAGATTTCCCAATTGAATCAGTCAAAGGTATAAACTAGGTGGAACAAGTGCTTAATCATTTTAGAAGTGATATACTTGGGTCATTGAATGAAAGAAGATAACGCTTAGGAAATATTTTGTGATGTGGCAAAAATCAGACACATCTCTGGGCTTAGGCATAATACAGCAAGCCAGTTTAGAAGAACACAGTCCAGCACTGGTAGCTTCCAGACTCAAGAGCACCTTAAAAAGGGCAGACCCTCTTACCTCTACCAAAGAGTATGGGGGGTGAAGGGTGGGTAGTATTGCACTCTTCCTCCCCTGTTGACATAGAAAGACTGCTCTAGTACAGAACAACAAACCCAACCCATATCAGAGAGAAGCACACCAAACACAAACAATCAGATTTAGAAAGATATCCAAGGAAGAACATAATCTGAGGGCATGGAATCCTTTGAACCAGAAAAGAACGTTTCTATAACTTCAAGAAAGGGCTTCCAATAACAAGGAAATATGTTTACCCTTTGGCTACACATATTCTTTACACATGTATCTTAATGTCATTGTACTTTAAACTGTCTTCTGAACTCTGGGAGAAGAGAATGTGCCATAGGCTTTTTTGGGGGGAAATATTTTGAATCAATTGTTCTTACTAAATTAATAAATACCCTTTTTCTAAGGGTAATTACTAAGCACAGAGGTGTACTTCAAATTATTAGGCATGTGACTACTAGAAACCCATGACCAGAGACAGGCTCTAACAGTAACGTTCACCTTGGGAGACCTAGCCTGCAAACTAGAGTGGGATTTGGAGAAATAGCTCCAGAAGGTGTACTGCTTTCAGATGCTAGAGAGACTGTATGCTGACTCCACTAAGCTTTATGCTTATGCCTCTGGGTCATGAATAGACTTTTTTTGGGGGGGGCTAGGCAGTGGGGTTAAGTGACTTGCCCAGGGTCACACAGCTAGTGAGTTATGTGTCTGAGGCTGGATTTGAACTTAGGTCTTCCTGAATCCGGGGCTGGTGCTGTATCCACTGTGCCACCTAGCTGCCCCTCATGAATAGACTTTTAAAGACTTGATCTATTGTCTCATGCATGTACCAGTGGTGGTTTAGGCAAATACAAGTAAGCCCCTTTTCTAATACACTAAAGTCTTTTCCGTGATCTACAGTGGGAGAAAGGAAGGGAAAAGTGGTAAAGCATTTTACAAGAGGGAAATGACAATTTTTTGGTACTTTTACTTCATTTTATTTTAATAAATTATGTACTTTAAGTGTGGATTGCCTACATGATATAAAGCTAAAAGATTGTCTTCTCAAGGAGAGGAGAGTGAAGGGAGGGGAAGAATTTGAGACTCAAAATTTAAAAAACTATTAAAAATTTATTTTTACATGTAACTGAGATGCTGCAGTAAGGAGTATTATATCATTTATCCATCAGATGGCACTACACCCAACCAACCCAGTGCTTTTGTCAGAACAGATTCTGTGCTGTAGGGTTCCTGCTGTCCAGCAGATGGCCTCTCAGCCCATAAACTCTTAGCTTCCCTGACCCCCTACGCTCCAATCCAAACTTGTGCAGATTATGGTACAGATGTAACTGCCTGATTACATTTTTTTTAACTTTTTTCTGCTTTTATGTGGGAGCTCTGGATTTTGGCTATGACGTTCCTGGGGATCCCTTTCAGGAAATGATTGGTGGAGTCTAACTTTGCCCCTTGGCTCTAATAGATTAGAAGTTTTCACTTAGGTTGTACTTTGCCCTTAGGTCCTAATAGAACTGTATAGTTTGCATTTATGATTTTTTTGAAATATAATTTTGTAGGCTATGTTTTTTATTCTGGTTTTCAGAGATTCTAACGATTCTTAAATTGTCTCTCCTTGACCTGTTTTCCAGGGTTGGTTTGTTTTTTTTTAATACCAAATATATTACATTTTCTTCTTTTTTTTAATCTTTTGATTTTGTTCTCTCACGGAGTCATTGATTTCTATTTGTTCTATTCTAGTTTTCAGGGATTTCATTTCTTGGATAAGTTTATCACTTCTCTTCTAAGCAAATTTTTCTTCAAATTCTCATCCCAGCAATCTGAAAGCTTCAGGCCAGATTGTTCTTTTGCCATTCTGATTATAGTGCTTCTCAATATCAACCAGTTATAAGTTAAATCATTTAGAGGCTTTGAGAGGATACCATAATAGTTTAAAAGTTCTGATAATAACCACCTTTTCCTAGATAAGTCTTTAACTCTCAAAGATTGTTCAGATATGGCCAGCTGATGAAGCTACTTTCTTCTCAGATTTGTAATCACGCTCTGCTGAGATACCATTTGACCCAAATACTTGACAGAGGCACTGAAGAATATTGCTCGTCAGTTGACAGATTCAAACCTCTGCATGGTGTCATCTTATCTAGACTTGTTCTGAGGTCTCATGGTCTCTAGACCTGTCTCATGACATTTCCTAGACTCCAGCCTGTCCTTCCACGTTCAACCCTATCCAACTCTACATATATTGTCTTCTCCAATTAGAATGTAAGATAGATTTATAGCCATTATGACTGCCTGGACAGAGACAGGCAACCCAGCATCCCTATATCTACTTAAGGGTTTCGACTAGTGTTAAAAGGAGGAAGTGGGGGTAGAATTTGCTATTTCTAATAATTAGGGTACATGAGAAGAAGACTATACAAATATGGAGGAAAGAGTGGGTGGGATACATATTAGATGAACCTCATTCTTATCTGATATGGACAAAGGAAGGTTGAATGTATTCACATACATATAGTTTGGTGTAAAAATATGTCTCAGCAAGGAAACAAGCATGGAGGGTTGGAGTTGATTAAAAGAGAGGATAATATTGGGGAATAATTACAAGCAAAATAAGCTTCCTAATCCTAAAAGGAGAAAAAAAACCTAGAATCTGAGGGGGTGCCTTAGATTGTCCCCCTTAGACAAACGGGGAATAGCTGAACAGATTGTGGTCTATGAATGTAATGGAATATTATTATTTCATAAGAAATGACAAAAGAGATGCTTTCAGAGAATCTTGAATAGTACAAACTGATGCAGAGTGAAGTGCTCAGAGCCAGGAAATAATTTATACACCGAACAACTTTGAAAGGTTTACGAACTCCAAAGCATTGACCAACCATGTCTCTAGAGGATTTACAATGAAGCATGTTACCCATCTCCTGAGAGATGTAATGTATGTAAGATGAGGACACATATTTTTGGACATGACCACTGTATGGATTCATTTTGCTTGATTATGCTTATTTGTTACAAAGATTTTTTTTTCCTTTCTCCCTATTGAGGGGTAGAAAGCAGTAGTGATACTGCTCCTCCCCTCCCCCCAAAAAAGAACCATTGCAACATATTTTAAAATGTACAGAAGAGGATAGAAGTTCAGAAGGTTAAATAGGACAGTTTTGAAAGAAACATGTAGCATTTATTGTATACTTATTTTAAAAAGCAAGCAATGTATAATGGAAATTCATAGTTTCATACAGAATCTTTTTGTGTTCTGTGTGTATGGAAATATTCTTTTTGGTGTTTAAGTCCAGAATAAATTTTTTTTTTAAAAATGATGTAAACTACTTGAAGGCAGCAATTGTCTTGTTTATATTTGTATCTCTAGCATTTAGCACAGTACCTAGCGCATAGACTTAATAAATGCTTTTTCATTCATTTATTCATACATAATTACATATCTTCCAGCCAGTCTAACCTTTGATAGGTCTTTTCTCATACTCTTCCAACATTATTCGAAGATTGTACAGAATCCAGATATAGCAATACCTCTGTTGTGTTGCCAACCATTTTTTCCGCAAGCCATGGAAAAGTGAGAGATGCTTCTAAAATTCCTTAGGGCATGTACTCAAACTAGTAGAATCCCATTGGGCAGGAGAGTCAGGGTGGTAGAGTGGATAGAGGGCTGGGTTCAAACTTTGCCTCTGATGCTGGATGAACAGGCAGATCTCTAAAGACTCTTAAATTGCTAAGGAGTTGTCAGGTTACGTTGGTGAAGAATGTAACAAGAATTTCCTCACCATTGAAATCCCAGGTTTGTATTAAAACAGTGTCTTACTGCGAGTGTTATTCAGCAGGAGGTTATTTGGTAACTTCCTAGTTTAATTATTCTTGCTAATTAAGCACAAACTAAGTTGTTTCTCTGTGCAGAAAGAGTGCATTATTGTTACATTGCCTTTCTATTAAGAATAATTGTAGTGCTCTTAACCTGAGAGTGGCCTCACGGGGCCAGGTGTTGCTTAACTGCTTAAAATAGTTGTAAGAGAAGACTGACAGCTGTCAGAAATTGCCCAAAACTGGCTATTCTGCATAGGTAGAGGGAGTTTCTTCACCTGGAGTGCCCTATATGCCAGCGAAATCACAGGTCTGGAGTGAAAAGTAATATGCTTGGAGGGCTGTGTGCATGAGTGGTTAGAGAGCTCATGTCTGAGTCAGGATGATCCAGGTTCAAATTCTGCATCTGATACATACTAGATATATGTACCTGGGAAAGTTGCTCATCTCCTCAGGCAATTCTCTGTAAGTTACAGATCTTCAATCCATATAAAAATGCTGCTGTCTGTATTATTAGAAGATTTTTTTTTTATTGGTACTTCCCTATACCATTAGAATTCTAAGTCCAAAGTTGTGGAGGTTTTTGGAGTAGTCGTCATTGTGTTAAAAAAAATTGCATCAATAACATTTCATTTTAAAAAAGAAATTGCACATGTGTTAAAAACATGTACCATCAAGGACAAATGCATGTGTTAACTTTTGTGCTCCCCGTATGGAGCAAAATCCCACCTACTTTGTGCTAAAATTACAGCTCTTCCCTTGAGTCAAATATACATCCTAGGCTAATTCTTCTTGCCTGATGTCTTCTAGTTTGCCGAATGTGCCTCCAAGAACCAGGAGATCCTGAAAAGTTAGGGGAGTTTCTGCAAAGAGATAACCTCCGTATCCATTATTTCTGTCTTGTGAGTATATCCCCTTCCCTCCTTTAAATTCCCAGTGGCTTCTGTACGTTATTCCTCATTTTGTTCACCCTGTCTCATGTGCTCGATCCCATTATATTTTTTTTCCCCTTGCTTCCTCAGTTTAAGTAGTGGTGGAAAGTCTACTGGCCTTGGAATCAGAAGATTTGAGTTTGAGTCCTATGTGACATTTTATTAATTATGAGATTCTTGAAATGGGTATTGTAATACCCGTACTGGTACTGCCCTCTCGCAGGATTATTTTGAGAACAGTGCTTTATAAACCTTTAAGTGAGAGATATGTGTGTGTGTGCATTATTATACACCATTATATACAATAATAATAAAAAACCTCACCACTACATCCTGCTGTCTTGCTCTTCATTGATGATTGTAGTCTATCTGTTCTACTGCCTTTCAGATCCTGTCCAGTGGGCTGCCTCAGCGGGGCCGGGCTAGTGATGGCTTCCATGGATTCTTACCTGAGGACATCAAAAAGGAGACAAGCCGAGCTGCTAGGAAGGCTAGAAACCCTGAAAATACGGGCCTCTGCCCCCTTTTCTGTCCCTTTCCTTTCCCCCTGTTGGGTTCTGAGAGCTTATTGAGCACAGTGCCTTCCCCATCTGCTCCAGATTCTGGTGGGCTGGAGGTCCTAATTGAGGAGGGAGCAGACAAGCCCTGGAGGTTTCATAGGGGCCCCCTACCCCTATCAACCAGGGCACTGCCATTTTTCGCAGATGTGCTGGGGGCTATGGTTTCTCCTTTCTGGGGCTGTGAGCACTGTCTGGGGTTTCAATTACAGACCTGCTTTGTGTGCAAGAAAAAGGGAGCTGCCATCTTCTGCCAGAAGGAAAGGTGCCGAAGAAACTTCCATTTACCCTGTGGCCGAGAGAGAGGCTGCATCTCACAGTTTTTTGGAGAGTACAAGTGAGTATTTGGAAAGCAAAGTTGAAGCTGCCCATTTAGAGTTTGCTTTAGCTGAGATGAAATTGAAAGCAGGTTGTCAATGGGCCTAGTTTGAATCCATCCTTTAGTTTGGTTCAGCGTTGTTGTTTGGGGGTGATGATGATTCAAACTACAGAATGAGCTCCCAGCCAATAAGTCCTTACCTGCTGATGTCACCACATTAGACCCTTGGAAAGCCCACCCTCTGGGAGGTGCTCTCTTGGCTTCAAGCCTTGTGGGAAATGGAGTGACATATTCGTAGAACACCTTTGCAGTCCCTTCAGATTTCTCCATAGGCTCGCTAATTGGCATGTAGCAGTCACAAATAATTGTCAAGACCTCCACATTAGTGTTGTATCCATTACACCAGAGAAATAGGTTACATGCAGAAACATGTAGCAAAGCTGTATACAGTAGGCCAAATAGGTCACGAAATACATATCCCATAGTATTACATATCAGGTTATTATACTATACGATATCATATGTTGAAGTCACATACAAACTATACAACGCATTCACTCCATGAATGATCATTGTCTGACTACAGATAAACATGGATAACCTCCTTTCTCATTATCCATGGGACATCATATATCAGCCAGACCACTGGTCAGTCCAGCCACTCCTAAGGTGACTCACTGTCCATTCTGCAACCTTTGTATCCTCAGACCCACTGACCTCCTATGTCTCAACCAATCTGTAGTTGCCCACTGCTAACTCTAGCACCTAATGAGTCAGACTCTATATGTGGCTTCTTTTCCTTGGAGCTTTCACAGCTGGAGTATTAGGTAGAAAACGGGCAGCCACTGAATCCATCCCTTCTTTCTTATCTCAGCGCAGGCACAGGTGGTAAGATGGCCCATGGTTTTCTATCCCTTGAGAAGGTACCAACCTATAGCATCCTCATCATTCAAATTGTTATTTGAAACCTTTCCGTAGACCATCGTCTGGCTCCAACTATTCATTTGCAGTTCGCAGATGGGCCATGCTAGGACTTCTCTTGGTCTGTTCTCCATTTCTTCTCTCTTCCTGGTTTCCAGGGAGTCCAACTAATTCCCCTGTGGGTAATATATCATTTTGAATGGGCCCCAACCATTCTTTGGGGCTGTGTTGTAGATTAACAAATTTCCTAGGCTCTGGAGTACTTAGTATGAGATGGCTCTGCAGCGATATTCATTACCTTGTGCTTTCTCTGGGCACCAAGACTTCATATCATACCTCAAATGTGGCTGTTACTCAAAGTCAAGCAGACACAGATGGTACCATTCTTGGTGACATTATATACATGAACTCGAAAGGCCACATGCTGACTCCACTGAGACGTCCACTCAGGCTTCAGGGTCCTCAGCATGTTTAGCAGGTACAATTAAAACAGATCCCTTTGAAGGTGGTAAGGTACAATTCTAGACTTCTTTTAACTCTAATTACTAACAGAACTTGTACCTCCTTAGTTAGCTTGTTCTCAAGATGTTAGCCTTAATCAGAAAAGGAACGAGGACTCTGAAATATGGTACCCCTCTTTGCTATGTAAGAGTCAGTGTGGGGGCAGCTAGGTGGCGCAGTGGATAGAGCACCAGCCCAGAAGTCAGGAGGACCTGAGTTCAAATCTGGCCTCAGACCAAACATTTGATACTTACTAGCTGTGTGACCCTGGGCAAGTCGCTTAACCCCGATTGCCTACAAAAAAAAAAAAAAGGAAAAAAAAAAGAGTCCGTGTGCCCTTAATCCTATCTAGGCTCCATTCTCCCTTGGCCACATGGTCCAGGTCCCTGGAGTTCTATTACCTCATAGACTACTTGGTCACTCCTAGATCCCTTCCACAGTCTTTCTGTATATAAGGTACATCTCATCTCCATTAAGATGCTGGGATTTTTATAATCTAGCCAATAGGTCACAGGTGCTCAGCTTCCTTAAGAGACTGGCCAATATGGTGGATCTTTAATAAACCTTGTCTTTGGCTGAAAAAAAAAAAAAGATTCAGTGTGACTATCTTGTGCTGATAAATCCAGACAGGATCAAGGATGTCACTGTGCTTTGAGTTCTCTGGAAAACTTAGGGCTTAGCCCGAAGCTTTTTGGAAATATGTTCCTAAGGACATACTACATACATACAGTGTCATGTTTTAAGTAACTTGGAAACTTTGCAAGGGTTATATGTTTGCTTCTCTCCCCAGCCTTTAGTTATGAACATCTGGCATTCTTGATGACTGTTTAAAACCAAGTTGGTGCCTTCAGAAATGGGGAAATATAGGACCTGGCTAATTTGGCTTTGCATGTCAATAAAATGCTAGTAAGAATAAATAAGACATTTTTTTTAAAAAACGTTTTTATTGGTATACTTGGTTTTTATACCATTTTCATTTCTGAATGTATCCTCCCCCTATCCCTTATCCAAAATGTCATCCCTTATAGCAAAGGATTTCCAAATACATCAACCACATCTGTTAGTGTATATTCCACACTTATAGCATCCTACCTACCTCTGCAAAGGAAGGTGGAAGATGCCTTTTCTCAACTCCTCTCTGGGTCCAGTATGGACAGTATGATTACACAGCTTTTAGTTTCATTTTGTTGTTCTTAGTTTTTTACATTATTATAGTCAGCATCTATATTGTTTTCTTGGTTCTGCTTCATTCTGCAGTCCGTATGAGATTTTTCATATTTTTCTGAAATTCTTTATATTTGCCTCTCCCCTCAGTGCAGATATTCCATTATATTCATGTACCACACTTTGTTCGGCCATTCCCCAGTCAATGGACATCGACTTTGTTTCCAGTTCTTTGCTACTGCAAAAAAAAATGCTTTGAATATTTTGGTGTGTGTAAGATCTTTTTGTATTTGGCCTTTTCAGGAGCATGTACCTCATAGTAGAATCTCTGAATCAGAGAACATGAACATTTTTAAAAAATTTTTATTTTGAACATTTTAGTCACTTTTAAGCTTACCTCTTAATTCTAAATTGCTTTCCAAAATAATTAGACCAATTGACAGCTGTATCAACAGTGTGTTAGTGTGCCTGTCTTCTTATAGTACCTCCAACTTTGACTATTTCCATCTTTTGTCACCTTTGCCAACTTGCTAAGTGGGAGATAAAACCTCAGACTTTTTTCGATTTTCATTTCTCTGATTATTAGTAATTTGGAACTGTCTTGAACATGGTGGTTAGTTTGCAGTTCTTCTTTTAACTTCTTATCTTTGGCTTTTAGTCTTGATGTTTCTGTTAATTCTCTATATGCTTTGCATATCATACCCTTATCAGAGAGATTTGATGCAAAGATTTTCTTCCCAGTAGACGCTTTTCTTTCTTAATTTAGCTACACTGATTTTGCCCAAGGCAGTTGTGAGGGAAGGGAGTGGAATCAAGAAGACTCCTGAGTCCAGATATGGCCTCAGACATTTAACTGGATTTGGCTGGATGACCCTGAGCAAGTCACTTAATGTCTGCCTACCTCAGTTTCTTCATCTATAAAATAGGAATAATAGCACCTATCTCCCAGGTTGTTGTGAGGATAAAATAGTATTTTAAAAGTGCTTTGTAAAACTTAAAGCACTATATAAATGCTAGTTATTATTACTATTTGTGCAAAAGCTTTTTAATTTCATGAAATTAAAAGGCTTTGTTCAGTTAATTTATCCCTCCTCCTACAAAAGCTGTGCTCTTCTAATTTTTTCATAGTATAAACATTTTTAAAAAAATTCTCCTTGAGAGTATTTTATTTTTTCCAATTACATGTAAAGATAGTTTTCAACATTCATTTTCATAAAATTTTGAGTTCCAAATTTTTCTCCCTCCTCTCCAAGATAGCAAGCAATCTGATATAGGAGTATAACCTTTTATTTTCAGTGACCACACCATTTTTAACCGTTTTTAGCAATCCACCAAAGGCCATATTTGAACTGTGTGTCACTCCTTTTAAGGTGCAATCTATAGGAAACATTACCAATTGTATGTGAGCAAAATAGGTATGTAAAACATATTTTATTAGGATGTGTACCAGGGAATTTTATTTGTTTAAGGGGAATAGTTATTGAATAAATCATAGAAGACATTTTTATTCACCAAATTAAAGAAACTAAAATTTAAATAATCTTTAAAAAGTAAGTAATTGAGAGAATAAACATAGACAAGGAGGAAACAAAATTACTGCTTTTTGGTGATGAAATATGATGGTTTACTTAGAGAACCCTAGAAAGCCAAGTACAAAAGTAATGGAAACAACTTTAGCAAAGTTGCAGAATGTAGAATAAATCCACATGAATCATCAGCATTTCTGCCTGTTACCAAAAAACCTAGCAGGAAAAAAAAGAAAGAGAAATTCCATCTGCTTTCCCAGACACACACAGGAACTATATGAGCACAATTACAAAGCACTGATTATGCAAATAAAGACAGATCTAAGTAATTAGAGAAATATTAATTGCTCTTGAGTAGGCTGAATAACTGTAATAAAAATGGCAATATTAATTTAATTATTCAGTGCCATACCAATCAAGCTGTGAAAGGATTACTTTATAGAACTAGGAAAGTTTATCTGGAAGAATAAAAAAGTCAAGAATCTCAAGGATTAATGAAATAAAATGGGAAAGAAGGGAACCTAAGAATACCAGATCTCATAATATACTAACATAGCCAAAATTGTCAAAACTATTTGATATGGATTTAAAAAGAGGGGTTGATCATTGGAACAGATTAGGTACATAATATGCATAAGCAAACAAACATAGTAGCCAAATGTCTGATAAACCCAAAGATCCCAGGTATTGGGTCACACATTCAGTATTTGACCAAAACTGTTGGGAAAACTAGAAAGCGATCTGTCAGAAACTTAAGTGTAGACCAACTTCTTGCACTGTGTACCAAGGTAAGCTCCATTGTGTACATACTTTAGAATAAAGGTTAATATTATAAACAAATTAGAGGAGCAAGGAAGAAATTACCTGTCAGATCTATGACTATGAAAGAGTTCACAATCAAACAGGAGATAGAGAACATCACAGAAAGTAAAGTGGACAATTCTGATTGCATAAAATTTTAAGAGTTTTTTTGCACAAGCAAAACAAATTCAGTCAAATTTAAAATTTTTTTAAAATTTAAAAGTAGGGAAATGGGAAAAAAAAATCCTTGCAGCAAGTTTCTCTGATAAAGATCTCATTTCTAAGATATGTAAGGTATATATGATATTAAAATATATATGATATATATGATATTATAAGATATATATGAATTAAATTTATAAGAGTGAGTCATTCTCCAAATAATAAATGGTCAAAGGATATGAATAAGCAGTTTTCAGAGAACTACAAGTTATCAGTAGCTATGTGAAAAAAGTGCTCTAAATCACAAAATCTAATTAGAGAAATACAAATTTAAAATACCCATCACATTGGCAAAGTTGACAAAAAAGGATAATGACAAATGCTGGAGGGGCTATGAATTGATCTATTCATTCAGAAAGCAATTTGGATCTATGTCCAAAAAACTATTAAACTGTGCATACCCTTTGTCTCAAGAATGCCACCAATAGGGGCAGCTAGGTGGCGCAGTGGATAGAGCACCAGTCCTGAAGTCAGGAGTACCGGAGTTCAAATCTGACCTCAGACCAAACACTTGACACTAGCTGTGTGACCCTGGGCAAGTCACTTAACCCCAATTGCCTTAAAAAAAAAAAGAATGCCACTTATAGACCTATATCCAAAGAAATTTTTAAAAAAAGAAGAAAAGGACCCACATGTACGAAAATATTCATAGCAGTTCTTTTTTTGGTGGAAAGCAGTCAGAAACTGAAGGGGCGCCTATCAGTGGGGAATGGCTGAACAAGTTATGGTATATGAATGTGATGAAATACTGTTGTGCTATAAGAAATTATAAAGGAGATAGTTTTAGATAAACTTCAGAAGACTTGCATGACTTGACATAGAGTGAAATGAACAGAACTAGGAGAACAATTTAACAATAACAATATTGTAAAGACAAACAACCTTGAAAGACTTGGGAATTCTGATCAACACAGTGAACAACTGCAATTCCAGAGAACTTGGGTTAAAACATACTACCCACCTCCAGATAGAGAGCTGATGGACTCAGTACAGAGTGAGACATGCTTTGTTGGTTTGACACGGCCAATGCAGGAATTGGTTTTGCTCAACTTAAAAATTTACCAAATTTTACTTTAAAAAATACAAACTTAAAAAGTGAGACACATAAAACAAAAACAAAAAAATTTAAGACTTTTATAGAGTGTGCTTAGAAACACCTAGCATAGCCCTATCCCATACTCTTATTGTTAGAAACCTAGTTTGGTTCCTCTGTTACAGATCATTTTGTGAAAAACATCGCCCAACACAGGACATTCAACCAGAGAAACGGGCAGAGGAGGACTGCATCTTGTGTTGTGAAAGCTTATCTGGAGGGAATGATGATAACATTCAGAGTCCATGCTGTAGTCGTATGATGTACCACCGAAAGTGCATACAGGTGGGGAGGTTTACCCGTCTCAGGCTCCCCCTGAGGCCTGTACCACTGTCTGACCTGGAAGCAAAAGCATCCAAGTGAATGCCCAGGTAAACATCAGCCTTCTCCCCAACTCTGGAGGCCTGTGTGGTTTTGGCCCAGACCTAGCAGTGTAGATAGGAGTATGGTCAGGCCAGGGAGCAGTCTTAGGAACTTCAGACCTTGGTCTCTAAGACCTACACATAGCTGAACTGTTTCCTGGACCATGCCAAAAATTTAAGGGAAATGCTTAACCAAAAAGATCCACAGGTTAGCTCCAGAACCAGCTTAGCCTCCAGAGATAAAAAAGGACAGGAACTATAGTATCTGTACAAGTTGTTAGTCCCAGTAAGGACCACAACTGCACAGGCCTCCAGGATTAGGGATGAAAGCTGATATTAGCTAGGGCATTACTTGGGCATCCTTGTTTCTAGGTCAGAGAGTTGGGCTTTACCCCACCTAAATTCTTCTCTTAGGAGTAGATCATAGCTAAGATCCTCCCCATTTGTGACCAGCTTCACCAAGTCCCTAGACTAGGTCTTTCAGTTGGCTCTCTATCATTGTTCTAAGGTGGTGGGTCTAGGGTATGTATATGTATGGAAGGTGTTCATGAGTCTTTACCCCTGTTTCTTTTACAGAAATATGCCCATTCATCAGCAAAGCATTTCTTCAAATGTCCTCAATGTAATAATCGAGAGGAATTTCCTAAAGAAATGTTAAGAATGGGAATACATATCCCAGACAGGTAACAGGAACTCTTTAGACAGATACCTAGTACAAGAGCAGAGGTCTCAGTTTTTCTAGAGGGTAGTGCAAGAAATTAGGAGGTAGTATAGGCATGTATATTGCATTGAGAGAGCTCTGATTAAAGTGAAGGAGCAACTCTTTTGAAATTATTTGCATGGTGATTTAGAATTATTAGATTTCTTAGATTCTGGGGTGATACTGATCAGGATGAATGGGATAAACCCTCTATTCCCACTTCTAGGGATTATTGGTACAAATTCTATCCTTCTCCCAGTCTCTCTCACAAGAGTTGTACCATTTTTTTTTT